CGCCCGCCGTCGCCCCGCGCGTAACGCTCTCTCACTCACACACACACTCATCCAGTATTCCTTTCTCTTTCTCTCATAGGCACATCGCCTATACCTATTTTGTTTGATTTTACTTTAAAATATAATGTGAGTTACACACAATTTATTGTCAAATTAAATTGCTATGTATTGTATTTTTATTGCTGTGCAAAGCTTAAACGTGAGTTTAAACTGTCGTTATACTTCGGCAGTGAAAACTAACGGTTAATGTACACTTTTTAGATTTGTACAGTCAGCGTCGAATTCATATAAGTTTTATGGAAAAAAATTACTAATACTCTTATAATATATGTTATAATCAGTCATCCTGAATGCAATTATCTAACTTTTTATTAATTATTTTAGCTTGATGAATTTATTGTCAATAATGTAACGTTTATGACGCTGACTGTACGATATTTGTATACTTTTAGTTGAACAGATGTAACCTGATTTCGAAACAGTATTTATTTTTTCATATTGAATTATGGTATTACTATTTTATTTGTTAATAATAAGTATGTCATCCTAACACAAGAATACTCCAAATTACCGAATAATTATTGAAAACTATAAGCAATATAAAATAGGCTGTTCATAGTTTGTACAATTGGTTATATAAAACGTATATTTAAAATTAAAATTAGTGGAATCAGTTTTACAATTTAACTGTTGTACTCAGAGACGTTAATTGACAATTAAAGAAGACTTAGTGTAGTTTTATAATAAATCTCTACTTAGGCAGACGTTAACTGCTGAGAAGCAGTCATTTAAATGGCTAATTGACTCCCTTAGTTGTCATTTAATGATTCTGAGTGGCAGTTATATCTCGAAGCAATAACCAACCTCCAGTAGTGATAGAAAGGCCAGTGTCTGAAAGACAATAGATGTTTTAAAAATATGATGTTTTAAAAAGTTTACTTCCAATTATAACGACGTCTTAAAAGTTTTATTACAGTGAAAACCCACGGTTAAATATAAAAAGTATTCCAGTATACACAACTTGTGAACCCAAACAAGAAAAGTAATATTTTTGTAAATTAAGACAACCGAATTCTTTTGATTGAAATTTGAAATGGTATAAGTTTGAATGAAACAGAATAAATAAGTTTAAAATGATTTTGGCGCAAAAAATTGTACCGGAATATTTTGTTGATAAAAATAATCGACCGATTTTTTTGTGTTTTAATGGCATTTTTGTTTTATGATTTTTAAAGTGCAGAAATATTTACCTCTGTATAATTAAATTTAAAATATCTTACATGAAATCCAGTGACCAATGTTTTTTTTATCTGTATAAAATCATAGATTTTTTTACACCATTAAACCTAAAACATATTTTTTACTAATCAAATGAAAAAATAATCGGTCGATAATTTTGTATTCGGTGTTAGTATTAAGAAAAAGCAAGTTGCATACAATGCAGTTAATGCATATATTTCCATTGATCTCTATAAATGGATAGGTTTGCTCGAAATATTTCCGACTTAAACGCGCCTGTTGGCATTAATGTGTTAATTCTATCTCTATTATTAAGTACATATTCCCGCTGCTACCAACCGTAACCGCGAAAATGGTAAAAAAGTCACAAAATAGCAACTCTTTAAGCCTGTCCATTTATAAAGATCAATGATATATTGCCAGGTATATTATGACATACGATGGTTGTATGTATAGGTTTGTGTGTGTTCGGAGGCGGTTGTGTCGGAGCGTAACGCCTTGCCTTAAAATGCTCTCTCTGATATTATATTTACGGTTACCTATTGCAGGAAGCAAGTATTCATATAGTTTTAGGCACTCGTACGTAAGTTATTGTATAAATTTTTTTACTAAGCTAAGTAGCCGCTCTCGAGCCGTTGAAATTATTATAACGTCTAATTTATTTCCCATTTCGGTCAGTATTTAAAATGTAAGTATTTCATTCGTTTCCCTCGAGTATTTTTAGAGTATAAGAATTTGATCTGTTACGAAGCAATAATGACAAGTGAGTCTCTCTAAATATATATTTTTCGCGAATCTTCTTGTATTTAAATATTAAGATAAATATTGTAGTATTATAAATGAAGCAATAACAAAGATATTCGATTTTATTGAATTATCCGCTGGTTATGCGGTCGGAATTATTTTCGATGTTTTTAATTTGTAACAGTACGTTTTCGCGTTGTATGTTCTGTAGTGTAGTGGTTTAGGTTATTGTCGATGTAGCGACTACTCGACTCGTTGGGTAAGCATCCCGAACCAAACTATCGTGGCATTATGTCGTCGTCGGTCAGTGTGTACTCGTCCAATGCGAGGGCATTTACGTTAAGTTTATTTTAAAACTGGCCGTTGCGCTTCACATTTTTTTTAATTGTCTAAACTCATATTCACCCGTCCTTTTACTTAACGTCTTTACTTAATTTAGTTGTAATTTATTTATTATTGAACCCCCCACGGGCCAGTAAAATGCACAGTCTATGAGACATTGTGATAATACTTAGCTCTAGAGCTTGCTCATCCGACGAGCGCCGGCCGCTTGTGCCGGGCTGTGGCAGCTGTCACTCCTCGCAATATACGTCAGATTTGACAGCTGTCAATGATGACATAAAGTATCAAATGAAAAATAAATCCACACTTGTTTCTAAACGGATCATTATCCCAATAAATAGATTTTAAATATTTTCATTGAATTTCATGTAACTTTTTCTGTATTTCATGGCTGTCAATTCGAACGTTTTGTTGTGAGGATTGTATTTTCGTGTAACATGCTTCAATATTATCGTATTTTAATAGCTTTAAAATTTTGAGATTATTTATTCATTATCAGCGTAGTATTCGCTCGTCATGTTACGGTTTTCTTTGAACATTGCTTATGTCGTCCGCGTCATTTCGCATAGACAATAATCTCGTAGTGTTACGCTCTCTAATTTTTGGCTCTCTTAACACTTATAAAGTTTCAAATCTCATTTAAAGAATCTATAAAATTGATGCGTTTTGTAGCGTTTATACATAGTGAAATAAATTGTCCCAATGAATTAATGATATTTTTCAATCACAATACAAAGGGCACGTTGTTATAGTCTGTTCTTGTGATCGTTCAATGAGTATCCATTCTCCACTAACATTGCTGCTTGCAGTAGTGATACAGTATTATTTTTTTTGTTCGATTATTAATTATAACGCTGTACATTTTTCTTAGTTACGTATTTTTTATTAGTTATAAACTAGGTTGACGTTCAAAAGTAACGTCTATATTTAGTTATTAATTCTATATTTACGTGATTTACACTCGAAAAAGTTTTCAATTTCTAGCTGTGTTAGATTCCTTGCAGGCCACATATCGTTAAGTAATAGAAAGTTTTTCGATCTTCCATTCGGTTTATTTATTATTTTTAGGTTAATTTATGTATATGTATCGATATGAAGAGTTGCTGAACAATGTATATCAATATAAGTTACTAACAAACCGGTTGTGTCGTGTGTGCTTACGCCCTAACATGCATGCGTTTGATTTCGTTTCTTCCCGGGCGATGCGGTAAACCCGTTCTTTTGTGAATTATTTATAATTTATGCTGAAATATTGGCTTTAGTATCAAGCAATGTCCTCTTGACCAATTTCAAGGGCTAAAGACTGACAGGCGAACTCTGTGACCTCTTTTGTTGATACGTATGTAACGATTCTCTCTATCTCATTTAAATGTTGAAAATATTTTAGTCCAAATGTGATATGCTTGAGAATGTAGTTGTGTTTTCGAGAAGCAATAACATTGTGATAAGTAGTGGTGAGGGTTGTACGCACTTTGACAGAAAACTTGATAAGTCAATTATTGTGAAACTGTGCGAGTAGTTCACAGTGCATAGAGATGTTGATTTATTACATATTTTCGTATATCTGTATTGATGACGTCACCTAGTCACTGTGAGATTGCTCGCGCAGGGATCGAAGGATATTATTTAATATATGAAAATTCTGTGACACTAAAAATCCTACCCAACGCAAAAAAGTATTTAGGACAGATTTTCCTGTACTTCGTATAAGGTATAAGTTTAATTTCGCTTAGGAATATTTCACGTACATAGTGTAAACTGTCTACTTTCCAATAAGCTTGAAGGACCATTAAATTTATTGATTGTTGTCATTATGTGACTATGTGTTTAAATGTAAGTTTCAGCATAAATTATCTGAACGATTATATAGTTAGGTGACAATTTGCCGGAATACTCATTGTGAAAAAAACATTAATTATTGTTGTATAGATGATAAATAATGTGACTTACGCAGGGATGGAAACTTAAATTATTAAAAATTTAACTGATATATTGGCTATGTAGTGAGTAGAATATTTTTTTACAAATAAATTATAGCAGATACTTGTTCGTTTTCATTGTTTACCTAATTTATCTCTGACCCAATAAAATAAAACCAAAATACATACAAGTATTACGCGACAAAAATTATACAAATTCTGAATGTGCAGTATAATGTGGGTCGCTATATAAGGGCAGTAACGCCCTCTCTCTAGAGAATCGAAAAAATTAACATAGATAATAAATTCTAGATTCCTAAAGATAACTCAATATTTTTTATATTTTTGTTACGAATAAACCACTTACACACACCATTATTCATTACTAAGTGGCGATACCCTTGTCAGTATTTATGGTCCCCATAAGATGCATATGACATATTCATAGATAAAATGAAACACAAAACTGCTTAAAGAGTATATTTAGTATCTAAGTGATAGTAACAATAGGTCTCTTGAGTGCGTGTCGTTGTTTGGTGCGGGCGTGTCGCGCGCGGCGCTCGCCCGCCGCCGCCAAGAACAGCTGCTCGCTGCGCGCCGCCTCCGCCTCGCGCCGCGCCCACTGCAGCGCGTGCAGGTTGTAACCCACCATGTCCTGCGAGAAATATACCAAATATATCCCTAAATATCGTACCTACTCTACCCACAGAAGAGAGGAGAAATGATTTATACTGAGGTCGGAAAAAATCCTTCCAATTTCCATGCCTACATTAAAAGCGAAAAATCCCAATTTCAGTATTTAGGTAACTAGTTTTCGCTCGCGACTCCGCTCGCGTGGAATTGAAAAAATTAAAAGTGAATGGCCTATGTGTTCTTCCAGACTATTTTCTACATCTATGCCAAATTTCATCGAAATCCATTTAGCTGTTTAGGCTACAAACTCTAACAAACATCCATCCATCTATCTAAACTTTCATATTTTTAATATTGATAAGATGAATACCTAAATACTGCACCTACTCTTATCGGAACAGAGAGATATTTCGTACTGAGATCGGAAAAAAACCATGCACCTGTCGTCTCTAAATGTCCAATTTAAGTACCAAGCTATAAATAAATTAAAAGAGAATAGGATTAAGAAAAAATATCAAATGTGATTTAAAATTGAGACCTTGAAATTCGGTGTTTCATAAATTACAGAAATAGACGCAAGGAAAGTGGAAAAGTTGACCTTTAACACATGTTTTGGGAAGGTATGGTCGCTTTGCAACAACGCCCCTTTAAAAATAAAATCGATAACGCTATGTAGCAAGATATTAAGAACTACTAGATTCTAGATTCTAGATTGTATGTAACAAGAAGGACGTTAGTTATGAGTGGAAGAGTAGACATAGAAAGAGATGGATTGCGTGAAAGGTGACATGATCAAGGGAGTGCTAACTGAGATGGAGGATGGTAGAGTTATTTGACACTAACCTTACAGAAATACGATAAGGTGGGAGAGATGATGATCAAGAAGAAGATATTAAGAAGTATGAAAACTAACTCTGAGTTCATTGATGCGCATGTGCGCGCGCGCCTGTATCTGTATGAGGTGTTTGAGCAGGTCGGTGTCGGCGAGCAGCGGCGCGCGGTGCACGCGCAGCAGGAAGCAGGCGGCGCGCGCGACCAGCTCGGCGTGCTGGCCGCCCGCGCGCGCCAGCAACGCACCCATCAGCCGCACCATCTCGCCCGCCGCGCTCAGCGGGAGAAGCAGCAATGCCTCTTCTAGATCACTGGAATAGTTTTTTTTAATATAAATCTATAATAATTTACAAAGAGATTTGTAATGATTTACGTAAAAACTACTATACCGATTTCTAAAATTCTTTTACACTTAGAAAGGTAATTTATCTGGTCTGTGAGTAACATAGCTTATCTTACTAATATTATAAATGCGAAAGTTTAGATGGATGGATGGATGGATGTTTGTTAGCGTTTGTAGCCTAAATGGCTGAACGGATCTCCATGAAATTTGGCACAGGTTTAGAGCATAGTCTGGAAGAACAGATAGGCTACTTTTTATCCCGGGAATAGTTACGGTTCCCGTGGGATTCATCAATTTAGTTTTTTAATGTTCACTTGATTATTCTACAACGGTTCAACATATCTTATTGACATTTGGCACAGATATAAAACAAAGTCTGGAGTACACATGGGATAAGCTTCATCCCAGAGAAATGTCCGGTTCCCGAGAGAAACGTAGCTTTTTGTAATTTACATAGTTCGTATGTTTTCTAATACCACGCGGACGAAGTCGCGGGCAACAGCTCGTATTATTATATTTCATAAACGAAGTCGCGGGCAAAAGCTAGTCTGAGATAAAGATATAAATCTAAGATACGTTTTAGTGGTCATTTACTCCGAGCACAGCAAT